CCTAAATAAATAAAATTGTATTTAAGCTTAAGATTTTGTTTAATTATATCCTATAATAATCCTATATATATATATATATACTTACTAATTTCAGTATTTTTTTTATTATCTTCTTCTATGGTAGGTAAAAAAATTATGCAAGATAAAGGTAAAAAAATTTTAATTATATTTAAGAAAATTAAAAATAATATACAAAAATAAAAAAGACAAAATAAATAATTTAACCTAAAATATATATTACAAATTATACAGACATTAATTATATTTAAGGAAAAATGTGTAAAATATTCTAAATATACAAAAAATAAATAAATTTAACCTAAATAAAAATTAAACATTAATATATATATATATATATATATAATTTACTCTAAAATATAATTAAACCTAAATTAAAATTAAACCTAAATTAAAATTAAACCTAAATTAAAATTAAACCTAAATTAAAATTAAACCTAATAAATATTTTTACACTATGGCCATTCTATCAAATCATCATTGATATTATGGCCCCCGTGGTCTTCTTCGGGTTCTTCTGCCTGGTCCTCCTCCCCATCTACAAAACCATCATCAGCTTCAGGGTCGAAAAAAAAGTCATCTGGGTCGAAAAGGCCTTCATGGACGACTTCGGCCACTTCAGCTGGGTAGATTTCTTCGCAGGGGTCAGGGTCCCCGTCTACCACGTATGGCATGTGGCACCTACTCGAAGGTACGATGTCGACGAGGAGCCGCCTGGTGCAAAAATTACACCAGCTGTCGGGGTGAAGAACCAAATCACTTATTTCACTCAACAGCATGGGGATATGATTCCGGCTAAACATTTTAATGCGAAATTCCGGAACACTATGCAGGCAATTCTGCTGCACGCAAAGTTCGCATACTCTACCATACGTCGTATGGTAAAACTTATCTATAATGCAGAATTGCTCTGCGGCCGGTAATATTGCTCTTAAAATGGATTCTATCATACCCCCATCTGTCCTAAACCCCCAAAACCGACTCAATGCTTCTTCACCCCAACAGTCGGTTATGGGACCAAATATATTTCTATACAACACCGAATTGTCCAAATTAAAGCTCATGGCGAAGTCTTGAACTCGGTTTTGAAAGACCTCGCCAACCACTGTCTCACTAAGATGAGCTTCAATCACTTCACTTGTGTTCATATTAGAATTAATAACCTCTCTGCACATTGTTTTTAAAGTTTTGGGCTGGTACGTATTGTCTATAACTACACTAGATTTTCTCGTATCACGACTCAAAGACGCCCAAACTAGATCCATGGTAATAAAAAAAGTCTGTGGTGTAAAATATAAAATGGTAAATGTTTTTTTAAAAAAAAGCTTTTATAGCTTTTTTCCGCACATCTAAAAGTATATCAAATACATGTAGGGGGCGGATACGTGCTGGAGAAAGGGAAGGTTAAAATAATTTCTCTACCAAATGTATGATACTCTAGTGGGGGTTGACAGAGATAAAGTAATATACCTTTTTTTATTGCTAGTCCCAAATTATGGAAAAATAATCAGGACAAAAGTAAATTAAATGTTACTTTATATGCATATGAATAATATGTTTAATTATACCTAATCAGTATTTTTATATTATCTTCTTCTATGGTAGGTAAAAAATTACTTAAAAATGCAAAGAGATTTTATGTTTAATTATACCTAAATAAAAATGAATTAGGGCTTAAGAATTTGTTTAATTATATCCTATAATAATCCTATGCAAGAAAAAAGGTATTAAATTTTTAATTATATTTAAGAAAAATTAATAAATAATATACAAAAATAAAAAAAACAAAATATATAATTAAAATTAAATTAAATATTAAATTAAAATAAAATTAAACCTAAATATATATTAAAAAATTATACAAAAATTAATTAAATAATCTAAATAAAAAACACTTTATATATGCTCAGTGTCAGTATCATCGCTATCGCCGCTTTCGCCTATATCTGTTATTTCACCAGACTCAATGCTGGGAAAATGGCATGTTCCAGATCGCACCACGTCGAATAGAACCCGACGATTGCAAAAATTACACCAATTTTCGGGCCATAAATATAAGTTCAAAAGTTCCTCGAACTCCAAGTAGTGTCTATGCTCTGCGTTGTAATTATGTAAATTAAAATTTTTCAGAGCATAGCTGTCATCCCAGCAGCTGTTGCACATATGCCCGTATGTAGTGGAATAAAATTTATTAATCGTACAGTAATATTCCCTATATGGGATAAGCAGTTCTATTATGGGGCGAATAGCATGTATGCTAAACCTACGACTCCATAACTGCTCTACTGCTTTTTTAGTCCATCTAGCGTTAACCTGCATATTTCTTAGACTTCGTCTGCGCACTAATGAGTTGTCAATTTCATGCCCAGTTATGAAATCGACAATTCTGTTCTGGATCACTTCACCATTAAGAATCGCCGGTAATTTTCCGCTTACTATTTTGGCCATAGTTAATTTGGAATTTACAACCTGTCTGCAGAGAACTTTGAGAGATTTTGGTGTAAATACGTTCCCCAGTCTCTCACAATACCTGGGAGAATCCATATTAATTTCTTCCCATACTCTGTCCATGATGATTTTTTGGTTTTTTTTTTTTTTGAACAATTTTTTAAAAAAAGGCACTTTTTATTCAAGTTGAATATAATCAATAATTTCATAAAGTCTTCCAAATACTTATTTTATACCTGAAAAAGAAGCCCCACCTCCAAAATTATTTCGGACTAGTAGGCGGGGGTGTCGTCAGAGCGCACAGGTATCGAAAAATCATTTGATGCTATACAGTTTACAAAAAGCTCTTGGTAGTAGTAGTACTACTATTCGTGTATTATTTGTGTTGTTTGACTAGTGCAGTGCAGTGATGGCTTCTCAACAGTTCAACAATATCATTTTGGAGAACGAATACGAACATTTAATTCCACGTTTTAATTTAACAGCAAGGAGAATGATATTCAAATTTAGAGATTTTGATTCCAATAATCAAAGTCCACTTGATTGGCTTGCGGTAAGTAACTTTTTATTTTCAATAATTTATATTTTACACAATTTTTATTATTTTTAAATTTATATTAAAATATTTTGTTTTTAAGTACAATTAGTGCTTACTTTAAGCATTTTAGTTAATTGCTCTAAATTATTTTCCAAACACAATTTTTAAATTTATATTAAAAGGTCTTTAAGCACATTTGTTAATTGTTTTAAATTATTTCCAATACTTTATATTTTTGCCACATTTTTATTATTTTTTAAATTTATATTAAAATGTCTTAAAGCATTTTTGTTATTTGTTTAAATTATTTCCAATAATTTTCTCAATTTTATTTTTTAGAATTTATATTAAAATACTTTGTTTTTAAGTACAATTATTGCTTACTTTAAGCATTTTTACTTAATTGCTCTAAATTATTTTCCAAACACAATTTTTAAATTTATATTAAAAGGTCTTTAAGCACATTTGTTAATTGTTTTAAATTATTTCTAATACTTTAAATATTTTACTACATTTTTTATTTTTCCGATAATTTTGTATTTTCTACAATTTTTATTATTTTTAAATTTATATTAAAATGTCTTAAAGCATTTTTGTTATTTGTTTAAATTATTTCCAATAATTTTTCTCAATTTTATTTTTTAGAATTTATATTAAAATATTTTGTTTTTAAGTACAATTATTGCTTACTTTAAGCATTTTTACTTAATTGCTCTAAATTATTTTCCAAACACAATTTTTAAATTTATATTAAAAGGTCTTTAAGCACATTTGTTAATTGTTTTAAATTATTTCTAATACTTTATATATTTTACTACATTTTTTATTTTTCCGATAATTTTGTATTTTCTACAATTTTTATTATTTTTAAATTTATATTAAAATGTCTTAAAGCATTTTTGTTTGAAATTATTATCAATAATTTTCTCAATTTTATTATTTTTTAAAATTTATATTAAAATATTTTGTTTTTAAGTACAATTATTGCTATTGCAATTATTGCTACTGTAAGCATTTTACTTAATTGCTCTAAATTATTTTCCAAACACAATTTTTATTATTTTTAAATTTATATGAAAAAAAAAGGTCTTTAAGCACATTTGTTAATTGTTTTAAATTATTTCAAATACTTTATATATTTTACTACATTTTTTATTTTTCCGATAATTTTGTATTTTCTACAATTTTTATTATTTTTAAATTTATATTAAAATGTCTTAAAGCATTTTTGTTATTTGTTTAAATTATTTCCAATAATTTTTCTCAATTTTATTTTTTAGAATTTATATTAAAATATTTTGTTTTTAAGTACAATTATTGCTTACTTTAAGCATTTTTACTTAATTGCTCTAAATTATTTTCCAAACACAATTTTTAAATTTATATTAAAAGGTCTTTAAGCACATTTGTTAATTGTTTTAAATTATTTCTAATACTTTATATATTTTACTACATTTTTTATTTTTCCGATAATTTTGTATTTTCTACAATTTTTATTATTTTTAAATTTATATTAAAATGTCTTAAAGCATTTTTGTTTGAAATTATTATCAATAATTTTCTCAATTTTATTATTTTTTAAAATTTATATTAAAATATTTTGTTTTAAGTACAATTAGTGATTACTTAAAGCATTTTTAGTTAATTGCTCTAAATTATTTTCCAATAATATATATATACACTCATCAACATTTATATTGCCTCACCCAAAATTCAAACGATACTACTGACTAAATAATAATTTTACTTTTAACAGAAAAGTATCTCAAGGTTATTAATTGACAATGTTTTTTGTTCTTTTTTAACTACAGTTTGAACTAAAAGTATAAACATGAATTATACAGTTCTAAATTAAAAATACAGGGTGATGCAGTATAAAAGTTGATGAGTGTATATATTTACTACAATTTTTTTTATTTTTCCGATAATTTTGTATTTTTTTTTTAATTTATATTAAATTTTTTAGGACGGTTTGGATTCTTTGATTACACATGGAATGAGTGGATTCAATGATAATGATAAAGTTGGAATTGTTTTTACAAACACGGAGTTTCCGGACAGGCCATTGGCGATATCTTTAAGAAATAGAAGTCAAATGACTGTAGCCGTCATTCTCAATACTCTGGGGCTGGTGCTACAGAGCAACTCCAGTTTTTTTACCAACAACAAGCTTACTATGGCTATCGACAGGGTGCAGCTTCCAACAGGCCATGGAAGACAACCTCTAAAAGGAGCAACTTACAGCGAATTCTGCAGGAGAAAATACGGTATCGTAACTGTTAATAATGATGATAATTATTGTTTAGCCTATGCATTAGCGTTGGGAATAGCCCATCGTAGCGATATTACCGATTTTAAAAAACTTAAATCAAAACCTAATCTTTTAAAACAACGCGGTAGAGAATTATCTAGGGCTGCTAACGTGGATCTCTCAAATGGAGGGAGTCTTGAAGACATTAAATGTTTTCAAGATTATTTAAAAAAAGATTTTACGATTGTTGTGTACAATAATAGAACGGGTAGCGATACATATTTTAAGGGGGAGCCAAAAGACACACGTAAAACAATAAATTTAATTTTAGAAAATAACCATTATAATCTCATAATTAGTTTAACATCAGCGTTTTCAACAAGTTATTTTTGCGAATCATGCCAAAAACGTTATGCTAGTAGAGATAAGCATGTTAAATGTCCTTATACTTGCCCTAATTGTCATAGTTCACCCCCTTGTGTTTCCGACGCAGAGGAAATAACGTGTAAAGATTGTAAACGAACATTCAGAGGTATTAGGTGTTTAAATATACACAAGGAGAAACTTTGTTCAAAACTGCATAGATGTTTGACATGTTTAAATAGCTATTGGACTAAGGATAAGCATAAATGCGGCGAAAAATACTGTCGTACGTGTTCATGCTTAAAAGATACTAGGCACGATTGTTACATGCAGCCAAATCGTATAAGTGATAAAGCTAAACAGTCCCTCGAGAACGATTTTTTGTTTGCCTTTTACGACTTTGAATGCATGCAAGAAAAAGAAGTGTCCAGTAATATATTTTTACATGAACCAAATTTGTGTGTAGTACAGCAAGTATGCTCTGAGTGTATTTCGAAAGATAATATAGATCTAGATTGCCGCAAATGTGGTAAGCGAAAGCATATTTTTTCAAAAGACCCTGTTGCCTCACTACTGAATTACCTACACGAATTCGAAAAGAAAAAATTTAATGTTTTTGCTCTGGCCCACAATATGAAAGGATATGATGGCTGTTTTATCACGAAGCATATTTTAAAACATGTAAATAGATGGAACCCTAAGATCATAAGAAATGGTTGCAAATTTGTCTCGATAACTTGTAATAATATTAAATTTATTGATAGTTTAAATTATATGCCACTACCTTTAAACAAACTTCCAAGTGCTTTTAAATTTGAAGAAGTCAAAGGGTATTTCCCTCATTTATTTAATAGATCCGAAAATAGTAATTATGTAGGTCCATTACCTGATGCCTCTTTTTATATGCCAGATTCAATGACTTTAGATGCGCGTAGTAAATTTTTTAAATGGTATAATAAGGAAATATCAAATAATGTTGTGTTTAATTTTAAAGAAGAAATAATTAAATATTGTATCTTAGATGTTGATATTTTACGGAAATCATGTATTAAATTCCGCGAATGTTTTATTGAAGCTACAAATATTGATCCTTTCCAAGAAGCGACTACAATAGCGAGCGTTTGTAGTAAAGTATTTAGGAGAAATTTTCTTCAACCTAATACCATAGGTATCATACCGCCTAAGGGTTATAGAATGAAAGATAATTTTTCCGAAATATCGCTTAAGTGGCTGTGCTGGCAAGAATCACTTTTTCCGGGTATTAAACACGCTGGTAATGGACAGGAAATAAGACTTAAAGAGAATCTCTTAGTTGACGGTTTTTGTGCGACCACTAACACTGTATTCGAGTTTGATGGCTGCTATTTTCATGGTTGTGAGAAATGTTTTCCTCAGCAGACCACCTCTTTTCAAAATTCCACAGATAAAAATATGCTAATGTTTTTAAGACTCGAAAAGACTAAAGCCAAGCACAAAAAAATTAAAGATGCCGGGTATAATTTAAAAAATATTTGGGAGTGTGAATTTAAAAAGTTGTTAAAAGCTGATGAAAACATAAGAGCTTGTGCTAATAATAACTTTAAAAAATATGTAGAGGCACCATTAAACCCTCGCGAAAGCTTTTTCGGTGGTCGTACAAATGCAGTAAAATTGTACCATAAAATATCCGATGAGAAGGAAAAAATTTGTTATTTTGACGTCTGTAGTTTATACCCGTTTATAAATAAATATAAAAAATATCCCCTTGGGCGCCCTAAGACTCATATTGGCGACGAAGCGTGCCGGAAATTGCCCATGGATACGATAGAAGGTATTATTAAATGCTCGGTTCTTCCACCTAGAAATTTATACCACCCAGTTCTACCGTATAAATGTAACAATAAACTAATGTTCCCCCTATGTAAAGCTTGTGTAGAGTCATTGCACCAGGGACAATGTCAGCATGCAGAGGGGGAGCGTAAGTTTACCGGTACCTTTGTAGCCGATGAATTAAGAAAAGCTATTTCTTTAAATTATAAAATCTTGGAAATTTACGAGGTATGGGAATATAAAGTTACTCAATTCAACCGTGAAACCAAGTCTGGAGGCCTATTCTCAAAATATGTCGACACTTTTTTAAAAATAAAGCAAGAGTGTAGTGGATGGCCCAGTTGGTGCACTACGGAAGAATCTAAAGATGCGTATATTCAAGCATATTTTGACCATGAGGGTATAAAATTAGATAAATCAAAAATTTGTTATAATCCGGGCATGCGGTTTATTGCTAAATTAATGTTAAATAGTTTTTGGGGTAAATTCGGGCAGAGAGAAAACTTAATGCAAACATCTGTAATTAGTGAACCCCTGGAACTATTTAACATATTAACTGACCCTTCTGTTATTGTTAACAATATGGTGATTATTAGTGATGAAATGCTTCTTGTCAGTTGGAAAAAACACGAAGAAGCAGTTTCATCATTATCAACTGTTAATGTCGCTATAGCAGCGTATACCACGGCTATGGCACGACTAGAACTTTACTCTTATTTAGAGAAACTAGGTAGACGAGTACTTTACTTTGATACCGATAGTGTTATATTCACGTATAGAGAGGGTGAATGGTTACCAGAAGTAGGCGATTATTTGGGTATGTTAACAGACGAAGTAATTGAATACGGTCCTGGTAGTAAAATTACGGAATTTGTAAGCGGAGGGCCTAAAAATTACGCCTACAAAATTTATATCGCGGATAAGCAAGAATTTGATACTGTATGCAAAGTAAAGGGTATAACTATTAATTCAAAAAGTTGTAAAAACGTTAATTTTGAAACATTAAAAGCCATGGTATGCAATAATGCGGAGCCGACATATATCCACAACACTCGTAAAATTTGTATAACGCCAAATTACGAAATAATATCGCGACCTGAATCAAAAATTTATAGAATCGGTTATAACAAACGGCGAAGAATAGATAACAATTATGATACCGTTCCGTATGGGTATCTAGAAGAAGAAGAAGAGGTTGGTTATGATCGTGTAAATGGAGAGCACATGGAGGTAGGAAAAAACTTTATATAAAACTTTATTTAACTTTAAAACCATGTAATAACTTTTTTTTTTAATTATTTTTTTTATTTTTTTAGTTGGACATGAAAGTTAACGATAATACTGCAAAAGATGATGATGAATACAGCGAAGAAGAAGGAGACATTCCTTTTTATATGGACGGGTGGACGTTGTGAATAATCATTATAATAATATTAATAATAATAAACAAATGTTTATATTTAGAACTTGCTATGTAATTATGTATATTTTAATTTATTTATATTTTTTGTATTTTAATTTTGTTGTATAATTAGTCATGTAGGTATTTTTTTTATTTGTTTATACTAATTTATAGTTTACTAAATTATTTATATTTATTAATTAATTATATGTATATATATATATATATTTATTTTGTATTTAATTTTTTACTTACCCATGTGAAAGTTTATTTGAGAAAAAATAAAAAAATATTTAAGATATTTGTTTTTTATTTAATTTACGAAACATTTTTCTTATAGTTACATCATTTTTGTATGTATTAGATGAAAACATATCTAAAAAATTATTTAAGCTATATTTTTTACTTAAACACACTAAACATAAAATGCAATATTGACCACACACGGTCGAAAACAAACTTTGAATTACATTGGAGTTGTATATCCACTTTTTGGAATTTTTATTTAAAAATTTCTGTATAGCATATTTAGGACGTCTTCCAAAGCTGTCAAAATAGCACCCATCACCTTTATTATCAATAAACACAGCACACCAATGGCTTCCAGGCATATAATGAGGATCTTCATTAATCACTATTGCCAACGGCTTACTAATATAAGTGGGTATTTGATTTATAGGGTAAACCCCTGTATGCACATGTATCGGTAAAAATCTACGTAAATATTTTATAACTTCTGATGAATACATTCCACACCTTTAACGTTTGTGCATTGAACGATCATACAGTTATGATTAAAATATTTAAGGTACAGGTGCTTTTAAAGAAAATAAATAAAATTTAAGTAGCATTTATTTCAAATTTTTTTATACTTAATATAAGGCTAATTAATACATATGATATATCTAACTACTGTAATCAACCACTACATTTCTATTCTTATCTATTTCAATAATATTATCGAATTCAGCGTAAATAATACAATTAACTGTTTCCAAAAGTGCTTCTTTAAAACGTACTTCCACGCGTAGACTGCCATTTCGAATAAGATTCCAGTGAGTCATTGTGTTTGCCGATAAATCGGGAGTTAAATCAAACGCTGTTAAGCAGAATCCGTCTTTATAATTAATTCTATCAATACAGAGCCCATTGTTTGAAAAGTGCATACCAGTCCCAGAAAATAAAGTATTATATGATCTTATATAATTATTATTATCAAAATCGGGTTGAAGCGGTTTAGAAGGAATTTGTTGACCATCAATATACAGTGATAAAAAGTTGACATCGTAGTGTTTAAAATTAAACGGGTTTTTCGTATAATCTCCGTTGAATGCTCTATTTGAAACAAAGCCCATAACACACCTTTTTGGTAGCTGACCCAAAAATATATTATCCAATGATTTTCCTTGAATGCCTGCTGGTATAGTTAAAACTTTAACGTCAACCCTAGTTATGGGGTATTTAACAGGTGCTAGTTGTAAGGCTTTAGCATGTGCTAACAACACAGAAGGATTAATTTTCATTCTTCTTACTAAAAGGGTTGCATCTATGATTTTTAGTTTTGGTTCTTCATTATTAGGAGCCATTAAAACAAAATTATCTCTTGATCTAACTAATTTTACACGAAGTTCAAGACCATTCATTAAAAACTTTTCTTGATTAAATAGGTCACCACTAAGACGTCCAATCAAATCGACATTTTTTCCTGATGCGGTGAACTCACACCTTTTTGTATGTCCTATATTACTAGCATTTATTTCTTCCATTGATTTAGCTGTATCTAAATACCATAGACTTGAAGTGAGATGGGAATTTGATGCCTCCGGACCGTAATTAAGTAATGTTTCTATATATGATCTATATGCATATGTGTTGTTCGGTGGAGAAATTAATTTTTGATTTAAATAAACATCAACTTGACTAAACATTGAATGCAGGAGATTATTTACCGGGCCGATCGTTTTTTCACCCTCTGTTGCGTTTGTGTAATTTGAATTATCTTGTTTACATATTTTTGCTTCTATATGCAGCAAAGTATGGGATAAATCCAGATATTCATCACCTATACCAGGTATAACAAATTCAACAGGTGCTTGATCCGTTAAAGATGAAAGAGGTTTGTAATGTATCCATTGCCCTGATTCCACACTAGTCTGCGTTGAAGGTATGGCGAATAAGTCCAGTTCACTTTTAATACACTCACAGGATTGATTATGGATGAAAGACATTGTTTTTAGTTTTTATTTAACCAAAAATATCTTCGAGTTTTCGTTTTTTAGCCTTGCACGTGTTTCGTTTTTTAGTCTTGCTCGTGTTCTTACTTTCAATAGCTAATACTTTATGATTTCTCTTAATAGCTTTCTTTCTTTTTATACGCTTTCCTGACCCCACCATTTCGTCGACTTTTTTCATTGCTTTAGCTTGTAAATTTTTTGTACCCTCATTAAACCGTTCTTTAAACGCAGCTTTGGGTGGTTTACTATGAATAATATCCTTGAGAAAATTAACACCAGTATGAGCAGCCTCTGCTCCTATTGTTTTTATTCCACTTTTAACTAGAGGAAATATAGTTCTATATAACCCTTTTAAAAAACTACCAATGCCACGCCCCTTTTGGTAATAGGCACCTTTATACACTGCTCCTACACCCGAACCAGCTTGATTTAAGTAATAATCGCTATACAGACACTTCACGGTCATTTTATTCTTTTAAAGTGTAGTTTAACACTGACAGTCCCAAATAAGAATGGCACTAATTCACCGGTTTCAGTCCTTATATCAATTTCTATATTTTCAAATTCACGTTTTAAAACAGGAACGTAGTGCGTCGGTGAAAATACTTTCATTTTATGGCTTCCATAAACATATTTTGAATTATCAACGCTTACGTTACGAATTAATTTAGCCATAGTGTCTCCTACAGTCTGAGGACTTATAATATCACAATAAATAAAAAATTGCGAAGGTAGCCCCAAAATTATGTTGGAAGGATGCGATGCATGACGATTGTCTAACATGTTTTGATCCGGTTCAAAGCCTAATTGTAAAGCCATGTAAGTTGAAAAAGTCATAGATATTACATTGCTGTCCTCAGGAATATTTACATATACTTTATGAGTTTTTTGATCCATCTTAAAAGTTATATGTCTTCCTATTATTTGAGTATTAGAATTTAATACTGCAAGCAGGTCATCTATGTTATCGTAACTACCTGTATTTATTCTTACTTTGTCATATACATATGTATTTGTTTTTGCATTCTTTAGTTCTTTAAAGTATACAATATTTTGGGTTTTTCTCACCGTGAGAAGAGAACATGGATATTGAAACTCTGTTAGACCAACTTGCCATTCTCCCTCAAGATGAATAGAATTTGGAAGTTGAGTATTAAACTGTGTTGTTTTATTGTTTGGAAAATATTCCATAGAACTATTACTAAGTAGAGTCAAAAAAAAATCGTTTGGCATTTTTTATGGTAGAGTAATATTTTCTTGTTGTACCCACGAGTCAAATTTTTTTGGATAACCTTTCCACCTAACGTACACTTCGCGTATGCCACGTTTTATCCGCTTTCCTAATATTTTATCTATTTTAAAAGCTGAATCTTCTGAATATGTCACCTTTTGCAATTCTGATTCGTAAAAAATTCCTTCTACATCTTCATTTTGTAAATCACATAGTTTATATACAGTATGTGGATGCCTTTTTATAATTTTAACTATTTTAAATATTTCAATAGTCCAATTAGCTTCATAACCTTTTTCAAAAATATGTTTATATTTGGAAATTCTAACAAAATCATTTAGTTTAAATTTATTTTTATTTACGTTTTTAAGTGTTATTCGAAAAGCATTATTGTATACTTCTAATATATTATTTTCGTTGACTTCAGTCGGTGCCATCTTAATCGTGCTATGCTTTGTTTTATTGTAAGTATCGACTAAAGTGTCTATTACATTAACGTATTCATAGGTATTATTATATGTAAAATACTTAAACATTTTTTCTTTAAGTGTTCTGTTAAATCTTTCTATAACACTAGCTTTTATATCAGGATTTTCAGCTTGTATATGATTTATACCATACTTTTTAAAACACTTTTTTGTATCGGGCCCTAAAAATTCACCACCCTTATCTGACTGCAAATTTATAGGTATTCTATTAGAGCTTTTAAATATATCTTCAAAGGCCATAGCTACATCCTTTGAACATTTTGTTTTTAACTTTCGTACCCATGCGTATTTACTAAATACATCAATAAGTGTTAGTATATATTTTATACCATTGTTAAATTTACTTAAACTTTTTAAATCAATTAGGTCTGCCTCCATTAAATCGTCAATATTTGTTACATGATATTTATTTCGTTTAAATTTTTTAATAACAGGTTTATGTAAAGTATATGTATCCTGGCTTTGTAACCATTTTTTAATTTCACTAACACTAATGTCTGGTTTTGCTTCTTTAATTTTCTTAATAGATGAAAAACCGGCTATGTGCTCAGGGTTGTAATATATGTTATTCATCGTCTACCACTTTTCCCAATCTAACTTGGCCCCTAATGACTTTGTTTTTCTTCTTTTTTTGTTAGATGATTGTTCTTGTTTCAATTTTGATGGTTTACTAGATTTTTTCCGATGATTAGTTAAACTTATAGTCCCTTCGGTTCCATTTATCGAAGAATCACGACTAGACTTTGTGGGTGTAGTATAGTTTATAAAATTATCTAAATATGCTTTACTGCGCACAAATTCCATGGGAGTATTTATTTGTTTTAAACTCTGTACTATTAAATCTTTATTTTTTTTATCCTTAGGCTGACGGTCGCGTAATATATCATTAACAATATCAATAATATTTGAGTCTTCTATCAAACGATTGTCTATTCGAACTGCGCCCTGTTTATCCCATTGCATAAAACCATTTTTAGTTATATGTTGTAAAAGCATATTTGACTTTTTTTTCAGATTTTTAGGGACAGTCTCCATAATCTGCTCGACCGTTAAAGAATCA